TTGTTATAAATAATAACATTATAAATAACTATTTGTTTAAAGTTTTGTGTGTAATGAATAAGGATAAGATATTAGTTCTTATTACGAGTTGTTTGATAAGAACTGTTTCTCAGAAGCCAATTTTTTTTGTATTATTATTATTATTATTATTATTATTTTTTTTTTAATAACTAATAAACTAAATAAAATTCATTATCGATCGAAACTCGTGATATTTGTTTGGACGTATTATTCGTGTGGGTGTATAATAGTAGAAACTCGTATAAGAGTGGTGAAAGTATCGCCTTGTAAAGTGACTCTCCCACGAGAGATAGAAAGACGTAATTAGGCGAGTAATAATATTCAGAGAACTCGACGAAGTTTTCAAGTAATTCGTATAAATTTTGTTTCGTTGAAAATTAACGTGGCAACTAAAATTAGAAAATAACAGAAATGAAGATTTCATTGCTTTACTTTTTTTCAGAACATTTTCTTGATTACGTTAATTATGAAAAAAAAAATTCATATAAAACATTAAAGTGTCCCCTGACAGTACTTATTACCAATCAAAACGATCTTTCTTAGCTTATGGTTGATACGAATGATGCAACGATAAAATTACATCGAGGGAAAAATCACGAGCAAGTTCCACGGTTTAATTTATGTTCTTCTTTTCTTAAATTATTTTTTTGTTTCTTTTTTTTTTTGTTTTTCACTCAAATTGATCGAAGAAGAAAAAACTCGTTAAGTTAATTCGAAAAGTTTTCTTATTTTGTCCTTTAAAACAATTTTCTCTCTTTTTTCTCTTTTTTTTTTTTTTTTTAATTATTTCTCTTTTTTTTTTTCTTATCAGAAACACTTTGTATCCTGTTCCTAAAGAGAGAAAAGGTTCGTGACTTCCAGAAAAGGCGAAGAACGTAGTAGCTCCCGTACGATTTAATTAATTTGATCGAGGAAGAAGAATGTTGCTTCGCTTGGCATCGTTGTAGTTGTTTATATTTGGTAGATGCTGACTCACTCTGGGTGAGATTGTGATCCTGCGTTAGGATTAATGTTGCTCGATAGTGTAAAGAAGGGAAGGGGTGAGAGAGAGAGAAAGAGAGAGAGAGAGAGAGAGAGAGAGAGAGAGAGAGAGAGAGAGAGAAAGAGGTAAAAGTAACATGAAACAAATCTGACATAAAAGATCACGACCATAATCGGAAAGTAACGACGTTTGTCATGCTTCGATAAAAATCGTCAAACGATCTAACTTATATTAAAAAAAATAATCGAAAATAAAAATTCTAGAACAAATTAATGAAAATTATAACATCTTAATATAATTAAAAATTATCTTCGATAGATCAAAACTAATTACAAAATTAGTCAAAATCGCAATATCAATTGGCAGTGTGATCGATGGCATCTGAATGAGCCAAAACCGAAGTTATGATACATAGCTACCTATAAATAAGATCATTATTGATTGCATAAATAATCTTATGTAAAATATAAAACAAGTAGGATCATATTGTGATAAGATTATCTTGAGACATTTCAATCGGAAGACTTAAATATCCTGTTACTCATTGTTTTACAGAAAGAACCCTTAGTAAAAAAATTATACTTTTTGTAAAAGACATATGTAGTAAACCAAGATAACAATTTTGTGCCAAGGTCATTATTTTTAAAAAGATTTTAAAATAATTACTATTTGTGTGTTTTAATTTAAGTAATACACATTATTATAATATCTTTAATTATTACATCAAAGATTTCAATGAAAAGTTGTTTCTTATTATTAGTCATTCTGGCTGACATAAATTTCATTCAATTAATTTTACTTTCGCGGATTATTCCTTCCTACTATACTTTCCCGTCAGTATGTTAATCAGATGATCAACGAAACAAGTTCTTCCTTGTAAGATAATTCGTAAAAGAGAATAAGAGAGACATTTAAATCTCATTTAAAAATGTTTCAATTATCTTGTGCATAAATGTATATACGAGAAAACTTTCAGATGGCAGGTATAAATGTTATGAGTATGCTTAAATGCATATACATGTGCATAGTCTTATATTATAGTTGAATCGAGTCATGATGTAACCGGTCACACAGGGCCTCAAGGTGCGGCAACGCATTAACTGGCATTGTCGGCCTCTTTGAATTCTTCGGATCCTTCTTACAGCATCTCGCGTAACAGGAAGTCGCGTCCTTGGTTTATCGTCGATATAATTACGATGGAATGTCAATTTCGCAGAGAATCTCGAAGCTAAACGATTTATCGACAACACAAAGAAATATAACAATATCTTATTTTAAACCCTTAACACATCTATTACTTATGTTCAATCCTCTATTATAGTCATGTAACTTTAAAAGTAAGATACTTGTATGTCTCTATTTTTAAAATTTTCTATTTTAGTTTATTCTTTAATAAATTCATTAATTTCATTATATTTTATATACACATTTGTATTATAAAAATAAATAATATTATATATAAATATAATATAATTTTAAAGACACGACACAACAAATTAGGTTTTACAATTAGAGAGAAAACTCAACCCTGACACAAATACTTTTTTTTTTTGCCTTTCTCTTTTTTTTTTTGTTTATTTCTTTATATAATAATCTGATGTTTTCTCAGGTCGGTATTTGTTCATCGATCGATTGATTTTATATATATATATATTTTTTTTCAGAGTTACGTAAAGGAAAAGACACAGCAAAAAAATTTACCACCACATACTACGCTACAGAGGCACGTGAAGGCGAACAGAAATGTTCACATACCTCGGTATATACTACTACTACTATTACTACTATTATTTCTACTATTCTTAGAAAATTTCAATAGATACTTTAATCATTGACGATACACAGTAGATGTTTATGCTTTTACATTTATATTTCTCTCTATGAAGATTCTACTTCCCTGGCGGCAAACCCACACCTCTTTCTCAACTGGAGGCTACCATTTCGAGAATTACTACGGCATTTCAAAGTTTGCCAGGTCATCGTATCTCTCGTGCACAATTTCACTTGATCACGAAGGTTTATTTTCACTAAAGAAAATATTTATGTCTATTATTATTTTTCATCATACATAAGTTTATTTCATTAAAATCATTCATTTCAGGCCTGCGATTTACCTTTATATTGGAAGATACCACTTTTCCTTGCTGCTAACAAAGATCAGACCGAATACGTAGAGATGAACACTTTCCTTGAATTTTGGAAAGAGTAAGAAATTGTTTGGAATGATAAAAACATTAAGTAATTAATATTTTATCATAAAAATCTTGTTTTCTTCTTTTTTTTTGCATATAGGATAACGAGTACTCATCATGATGCAGCTAGCAAATTCATTAGAATCACTACACGAGGACTAAGAAATAACATTTTACCTGAAGATTTGATTCCTTTGGTTCAGGATGTTGTTGAAACGCATCCAGGATTAACATTTTTAAAAGAAGCAAAGGAATTTCATTCACGTTACGTTCACACGGTTTGTTATTGACCTCTTATTTTGAAAATTTCTTTTTTGATATATAATTGTGAAATCTTGTAAAAAATGAATTATTCTAATTACAGGTAATCGCGAGGATATTTTATTGTGTCAATCGTAGTTGGAGCGGAAAGATATCGGTAGCTGAATTACGAAGAAGTAATCTTCTAGCGGTAATAGCTGTTCTCGAACACGAAGAAGACATCAATCAGGTGACTGCATACTTCAGTTACGAACATTTCTACGTAATTTATTGCAAATTCTGGGAATTAGATCGCGATCATGATCTTTTCATCGATAAAATGGATCTGGCAAGACACAACGATAACGGTGAGAGTTATTTTTAAGAGATTATTGGATAAAGTATTATACAAAATTATGTTAACTTTAAACGTTTTACGTGTGTTACATGTAACAGCATTATCTACGCGAATGATCGAACGGATATTTAGCGGAGCAGTTACGAGAGGTGGTGTCAAAAGTGGTGGTGTGATACAACAACCGGAAGATAAAATGAGTTACACAGAATTTGTATGGTTTCTTCTCAGTGAAGAAGATAAGAATCATCCAACTGCTATCGAGTATTGGTTTAGGTATATAAATTATTGTCAAAATACGTAGTTACAAATCCTCAATGAAACATCAATTATAATGTATCCTTTTATATGTATTTTAAATAGATGTATGGATCTTGATGGAGATGGTTATCTGTCTATGTTTGAGTTAGAATATTTCTATGAAGAACAGTTGCATCGTATGGAAGGTATAGGACTCGAGACTCTACCCTTCGAAGATTGCCTCTGTCAGGTATTTATTTAAAGGTTCTTAATTAATGTGTTCAAACAATATATAAAAAAATGATAGACAAATCTAAAAACGGTACGAACTTTCTTAATTACCCCTAAGATTTGTGTATTAAACTATAAATTATTTTCTTTTAGATGTTAGATATGATTCATCCAGCAACGCCGGGAAAAATTTCTTTAAGTGATTTAAAAAAATGTAAAATGACATCAATCTTTTTTGATACCTTCTTTAATTTAGAAAAATATCTCGATCACGAGCAGAGAGATCCATTTGCTTCGGCACGAGATGGTCATGAGGTAATAATTATAATCTTAAATATAATTATGGGGCTGATTAAAAGCATACGCGCGTGGATATGTTTAATAAAATTTTATGATCAACTTGTAGATGTCCGATTGGGATCGATTTGCGGCAGAAGAATACGAATTATTAGTTGCCGAAGAGAGTGGTAATGACCAAAAGGATCAAACGTAAGTACTTCGTTCTTGATACATAAATAATTCAATTATTATTAACTTTTAATATAAATTAAGTCATATTTTCATTCTCAATTTATCAATTTTTTAATTCTTATTAAACGATTTTTGAATATGAAGTATGTATACATATGTTATTTAAAAAAAGAAAAAAAGATTTATAAAAAGTTTACTTTATCACATTAAGATAATTATGGCTTTTCTTAAGTGCAACTACTATGAAAAAAAATGAATTTCATAGTCATTGATTTTTCGCTCGTTCTTTCTGGCATGCACAACTTTCAACTTAGATAGTTTGTTAATCAAAAGGATCTAACATAGTATTATACGTCTTTCTCCTTTCTATCATAATAGTAATGATATTGGTGCGATATATGCGTTTATTGCAGGCTGTGTGATGATGAAACGTAACCATCATCTACAGCTGAGTAAGTAAATACCACAGTTGCATGCACCCGTAAAAAGATGCATGTTGGCTGATACATAGATACAAAAATAACGGATTAAAAGAGATAATAGTTTGCTTCTATATTTGCATGAGTTCTTTTAATTTCCTTTTGTTACAATTTAAAATGACCAATTGCAATATGCAATTATCAAATAACAGTTTAATTTATTTGTGTTTTTGTTTCTATTTATGTATTATATATTTCGTTACGCTTTGTAAACACTTCTATAAACAATGAACTTTTGTTCCTGTCTATATATTATTTATTTATCATGCGTGAGTTATTGTTATGTTAAATAGAACTTATAAATTTATTGCTTTCACACTCGTAAGAAATGAATATAATGCTACATTTAGTATGATATAATCAATAATATTTTAGTTATATTTGATTGCATCTGATAAAATAATTATTTACTTCACAGATCTTACGATTCAACTTCAGAAGATACATTTTCGCCAAATCTCGATATTCTAGTTGGCGAACCAGTTGATGTTATATCTCAGGGTGCAGATCTTTTGTCAAAAACTCATCATGACAATCTGGCATCATCCATCGTTCGTGACCAGTCAAGAAATCAACATTATGATAGTGGTGACAGTGATGATTACGCCGATAGCGATAATTAGATTGATTATATCTGAATCTCTATACACTCACAAAATATTGAGGAGGTTGTGTGCATTTACTTTTTTTTATTTTATTTTATTTTTTAATTAAAGAATTGAGAAACAGCAACTGGAACTTCTAGCTGTGTTTATTTATATGTATAAATAATATATAATATATCTATGCATATATATATTATTCTGTTAAATAGTAAATGAGAGGACACAACCTGAAACCTTGTTTGTAAGGTCCAGTAAATACACCAGCAAATGAAATATTAGCCAAAAATAAAAACTGTAGTGTGGCATCATACCGTGTGTACGATGTAATAGAGATGTGTCATCTTAAACATACAAACGATCGCAGTATTAATGATAACGAAATGATTCTCAGCATGTCTGTGAATTATTTGACCGTGTCGTGTAGTGAGTGCAAGTTCATAAGTTAAACAAATTACCGAGTCATGTATCAATTCGGTGAATGTAACTAAATAGGCGACGTTCATTCCAATATGCAATAAAAAAAAAACAAAAGAAAATCAATAAATCATATTAGAGAAACTTCGCCGATTTACATTATATAAATAATTATTTAATTTACGTAAGAGACGTATATTTAAACTGGATTACCCTTAATCACAAATTTTATAACAAGTCCTAGTAATTTATATCACATGCTAATAATGTTCATTCATTGTATATAGAGACACATATTTTTTCATTGTGTCTATAGCACCGAATTGATTCACAACTTAAAAAAAGATAACTAAATTTTGGTCGTTGCTTGGCCATGTGATACATATTATTGTTCAACGTGCAGAATATACTTTGTGTACTTCAGGCTGTAAAATTATTGATGTTCAGGTTATTGATTTTTATTTTTTACTTATCGTAGAGAGACAATTTTAAAATGTGCAAAATTTTTCCAATTATTGCAGTCTATATAACTCTTTTAGATATTTATTGTTTCGAATAGTGTTTAATTGTTAGTATATACTGTTATATTTTATTATTTCATTTAATTATTTTCATCACGTTTTTTATAAAATATTTATTAAGCATTCTATATATAGTTAATATAAATAAATATAAACGGATGATATTAATTATTTAAAAAGATATTTATATCAATTATCTTTTGGAGACTGCATTAATCGGAAATGATTTGTAAAAAAGAAATATTGTTGCCATCAAATGATATTAGCAACACCTCCCCCCTCACTATTTCTTGCCATTTATTATTATATAAAACGTTGAAAATCCTTCGTAATAATTAATATTTATATATGCTGATTATATAGAAAATTACATATTTATAAATGGTATATATCTCTCTCCTTTTATATCGATGCTGATCTAATTTCATTAAAACGATATAACGTTTCGGTGTTCAAGAGGAGGAAGGAATTATTTTCCTATCAATCTTAACATTTTCTTTGATATATTCCCGAAATATATATATTATCATATCACATACAATTGTTACTTAAAAAAATATAATGTATTTTAAAATTGAAACATAAAGAAAATGATAAGTTATGGTAGGAATAAATATGTGACACGAATAAGTAGCAAGATGATCATGAAGTAAGCAAATGTTTTTACTTATAATAAACATCATATCTATAGTTAGATATATCAAAACGGATTTCACAAAAAAGATGTAATCATTTATAATAACCACTGTTTCAAATATTCGAAACAACTTGCTTGAAAAAATTCGACACAGTTTATATTTAATTAATGTATTTAATTTATAAATATGAAGATGAAACTTATTACCTTCCTCCACAACTAACGTCATGAAAAGCAATAAACAAAAGTGCATCTGTGCAACAAGATATACTTTTCTCTCTCTTTTTTTTTCTTATGGAATTTTCTAATGAAACTGTTATTCTGTCTGCTTCATAAAAAATCGAAAATCATCATATAGAATTAAGAAATACTTTTAAATTGTATTATATTTCATCTTATCTGAATTATGCTACCCTGCTGCATTGAACAAGAGCAAAGTTATATGTAACTTTATGAATCTTTTTCTACTTATTCGTATATACCTAACTTTTTATGAAAGGATATTGTTTTCCTGTGAAACATATCATATTTATCAAATAGTGAAGGTTTACAATCATACTCTATTGTATTACGTGTAATAAATAGATGATTATTTGTAAAATGCTCAAACAGGGTAGTATTTTTACTTCATATTTTTATCTTTTACAAATACACACACAGACACGGATGTCGTGTTACTCAAGAATAAATGACTATTATATTGTATAGTATTGCTGCAAGAAGATAAATAAACCAAAGATGTGACACATTTCGCTTAACCTGAACATTAAGAATAGAGAATTATTTTCTCACAAATAATTCGTACACATAAAGTAGAATATTGTAAGTACGAATCATACATTGATGTCGTTTTCTTCCTGCTCAATGATCTGATGTCATTTAATTCTATGTGAAAACAAAAAGACACCTACAGACGTATTAAAAATGTCTTTTGAGAGAGAAAAAACAAAAGAAAAAAATAATAATCGACAAAAACTGAATGTAAACTATATTTTTAGTAAAAATTAAAAGAGAAAAAGGAGTTGAAAATCTCAAATTTCAAATATAAAACTTCCGTGAAAGTCATCGCGTCAAAAATATTTTTAGTACAGTTTTTAAATATAAAGTATTTTGCCATAGGAGACCAAGGTATTCCATAGTTTGCGTTACAAAGACTGCAGAATTGTATATATTACTTTTGTCTCCAAAAAAATATACTTTAATTAATTGCGTAAAATGTTACTCTAGTCTACACGTGTGCTAAAACTTGTATACCTTTTTTAGCACATGTCGGTATAATCGTAAGATGTATTATATTATTTGTTTTAAACCAAACGGAACTAACTTTATGAAAAATGAATTATATGTAAAGTTCTGTATTTTTAATAGAATTTTATGTAGGATATGTAAGGGCAGTACTTTAATACCAATAGTTGATAGATGTGATTTTTATTGTTCTTGTTAATTATGTACTTGTTACTCTGTTATTCTCTATTTACATTAACTAATTATCTCCAAATTTATTTACATCATTTCTCATTATTATATTGTATAGTTTTATCAACTACTGGCATGACGCTGTCCATTATAATACTATTTTATGTGGCTCTCGCATAAGAATTAAGAATATTCTAGTGATATTGTTTTCTTTTCTCTCTTTTCTTTTTTTATTCATATAAAAATGCTTTGTATATTTTACAAACTTATTTTACAAAGGTCAGCACCTTATGTAGAATTTATTTAATCTATTTGGTGCTTCCCTATTATGCAGAAATACCATCTGTAAAGGGAGTTGCTTTTGTTGACTATCCAAAGATATAACTATATAAAGTTTGTTTACTTACATCTTTTATAAGTCGTTATGGTTTTTACTATATATATATATATATATATATATAGTAAAATAGTATATATATATATATATATGTATATATACTATTATATATATATACATATATACTATTCTATATGTACTTTTCTATATGTTGCCCTTGTAACATCATGTTCAAATTAAATTACTGTTAAGAAAAAAAAGTCATCGAAATGATAAAACATCATAAATTATATATATGTTTACATTTGACAATACTCTTTATTGTTACATTCATTCATTATTTTAATTGTAGGTTTGTTCTCTGTTCTTATGTGAAATATTTACACTATGCTATGTATTTATGTTTCCATAATAATGTGCTGCAGAAGACAGTCAATTTATCCTTTTATTACTCGCATCAGATATATACTACATATAACGCAGATTTTTATTTTTATGATATTTATTGATTGCCTAACTACATATTTACCCTTTTCAATATCTTTCAGAAATATATCACAGCTTTTCAAGTCTATTTAACAAAAAATAATTAACAGACTTGAATCAAAAACACGTTACTATAAGAAATTTATTAGTTGAATAGTACTGCGCGATCATTTAACAAATATTTATAAAAGCATTACGAAATGATTAAAAATATTAAAATATCTCACGCGAGTAAAGGAAGGTTAATAAACAAAAAAAAAATCAATGATGAATTAGCATAATCCAAACAAAATCGAAATTCACACACGCATGATTAGATGCCTCAATCATAGACTTATGTTTAACATTTATTTACATTTTTATTTATATATTTTATCTGTGCATGAGTAGAAGAATAAGATAATTTTGCAAGTTAATAAAAACAAATGAAAAAATTATATCTTAAATGACGTATTCTATTAATTAAAAATCATTTTCAGATATTATTTCAACTGTTACCAAATATATATTATTGTAAGTATATATAAGAATATAATTCATATATTTTTAATTTATTTATAAATAATATTTAAACAATCTTATAGGCAGATCATATATATCCTATGTAAAAAAGAAATTTAAAGAATGAGATGATTGTGAGTGTATGGGAAAATATAATCAACATACAATTTTTTATTTATTATATTCTATTTTTATTGCTGAGAATCTTTTAGATGTATTATAAAAAAAACAGCATATATACATAAAAGTAGAACTTTAAAGTTTATAATATGTCAAAATATATCAACAAGCTATGTTATTATTATCACACTTTTTTTATAAACTATCAAAATTTACATTTTTGTAAGCTTAGCTTTTTAAAATATTCGAACTGAATGTAGTGTAAGAAAAAGTGAATCATATCGTTATAATTATTTTATAAAAGATAACATGTGTATTATTAAATAGAAGATTTCTATTTAATTTGATTGACAGATAATGAATACAAAAAAAATTTAATATCACATTTCACTTGATACTACTTTTCGATACTAGTATATGCCCTTATTATTAGATATTATAAATTATTAATAAATCATTAAGTAATAACACGTACATATATAAAATATTATTACATTGCTTCTTGATTCGATGATAATATAGGTGCATAAGTTTAAATATATACATATATCACTTACATTTGCATTATAAATAAATATCATTTTTACTTGAAAAATATATCTATAAAAAAATCTTTGATGTAATATTATTATTATATATATATTAACATTTTTAATTAGATAAAAAAAAATTCTGCAAACAAAATATTTAATCTGTTAATATAACAGGATATAATAACAGACGTATTAGTAATTATCCATTTTAGTTAAAAAAAAAATTTCATTCGATATTAAATTAATAAATAAATAATCCTAAGCCTCATTATTCTGATAATCTTCAGTAAAGAGATAGGCATTAGATAATATAAAATATTATATGTACACACATATTTGTAAAATTCTTCATATGAAGATTAAATTAATCTTCATTTTCCCAAGGACTCTGACACGTGGACGTAACAATATCCGGCGAAGAATTCCTCGAAGATGGGACATGTAATAACGTTGGCTTCAAAACGATTTCTTCTGTGGAAGACGAAACTGTTGAATCTTTGCAATGATTTGTTTCTATAGTATCTTGTTCTTGTTTATATTTATTTTGTGGATTGTTTAAAATCGATCGAATAAAATCATGTGTCTCTGCACGTAAAGCATTAACTCGTTCCTGAAGAATACGATTACGTCGTACAAGAGCCAGTGTACGAACGACGATACTAAATAAACCTGATAAAATAGAAAAAAAAATTATATAAGTATATAAGGTGAGTCAGAATTAATAGGACATCTAAATATCTAATAATCACCTAAGATCTTTGAACTCATCTTGCATAATATATATATAAAAATAGAAAAATATACAATATATATAAATTATATATTCATTACCTTCACATCTAGGAAATATTACATCACAGTGTTCCTTCAATTCTGTAAAAAGTTTCGTTGAAATGTTTGATGATGAAATATTTATATCAACGGACTCATGACAATTATTATCTTTATAAAGAAAATTCTTCATTGACGATGTTGTTACTGATTTTTCAACAATGGGATTCTCGACGATGTTAGTTAATCGCTTTAATTTCTGTCTCTGTTGTTTCCCTTTAATAACGCGACTAATCTTTTGTCGTCGACACGTATAAAGGTTTTCTGTACTTTTTACAACTGATAATTCCGGCAAGCATACTGTCGGAGCCATTTTTTAATTATAATTCTATAAAAAGAAAGAGAAGAAAAAAATGTACGGATTATAAATAGGTTCTCTAATATGTTATACTACAGTGTCTATAATTTTACAAAAAAAAAAGAAAATACATATATAATTACATATAATTTCTAATATTTTTTATTATTAGTTGGCGTTAGGAATTCGAAAGTTCATTGCCCTAATTATCAAATCCTCCTGTGGTTCCTCGAACTATCGATCAGTTTTAAAAAAAAATATTCTAAGAACGTTCGGATTAGCTTAAAATTAAATAGGAAACTTGATTATAGAGTTAAAATAATTTTTAATACGTTGCACGTGCGAGATTATAGAGAGTCAAGGTACATATCTAACAGCACGTGAAGAAAAGTATCTTTTTATTTCATTTCCTGGAACAACCTAAAGCACACGTGGCAGTGAAGCGTGCACGTGCACGCGACTTTCAGCAACCAAGAATACACATACATACAACACATATGCATATAAATACACGTAGCTTTGAGAAAACAAAGGTATTGTTTAAAAAAAAAAAGAAAAGAAGCTAGCTCTTTTTGTTCTTTTTTATCTTTAGGTATAGTGTTACTACTATGTATATCATTTTCGATACATTTATCAGCATACGTTGTTGTTAGGAAATTTAAAAATTTGTATTAAAGTAAATAATACGATATTTATTATGACACATATGTACATTTATAAATACAATTTCGGCTTAATTTGTTATTCACGTGTAATGCTATGAAATTTCTTCGTCTTGCTTGATACATAACATGTACTAAATGTCGCATCATAAAATATAGATTACTTTCATAGAAATTAAGATCAAAGAGAGAAAGAGAAAAAGAGAGAGAGAAAGAGCGCACGTGCCAGACCACGTGTAGTTACAAATTGTGTCAACTCTGACCTGTTAAAAAAACCCAACTAGCACGTTATATTCTTTTCCTTTTTTTATCTGACTTCGTTAAGTACTTTGGGAGGAAGAAAGGAGACATAATAGAATTAAAATTTCTCTTTTATGTCATAATCTTAACAAGATATTTCTAAACATATTCTATTTAAATTGTTTATTACGTTAAATCGATAATTACAGATTCAATCTATTTCGTAATACTACAAATCTAATAAAAGTATATATGTAATTATTACTTTAATACTCTTATAATAAATTAGTATATAAACCAGTTAATTTGTGATTGACAATATAATAAAATATAACAAAACAAAATATTATTGCTTCTCCATGACGAGTATACTCATCAATCATAGCTAACTGATTAACATAAGTAACATCTTATGATCTTTAAGTATGATTACTTCATATCAACTACGTGCTCAAACATGTGTTTTTACATTGTCCTTATTACTTGTACAGATACACGTGGCATATTTTTATCTATCCATCTTTCACAACTATGACTCTGATGCTTTATTGCTTTTATTCGTGCTATTTTGTAACGCTACATATACATACTCTATGTGCTATCACGAACCTTGAATATATATGTCAAGCGTTACTTTATGAAATAGCTATATTGAACTGTTTAAATATGAAAAAGAGCAGAATTATATTTTCAAAATTAGCAGCGATGCTTCAAGATAAAATTTTTTGTTATTAATAATCAAGTAATTATTTCAAGTTGAATAATGCAACAATGTTTTAAGTTATGTATTTTATTAGTAAAAATATTCCGGTATCATTTTCGGATTAACTTTATTGTTGAATTTTTGCATATATTTAAATATCCATTTAATAATATATTTTTAATATATTTGATCTTTTTTACTTTATATTGTAACAAATTTTATTGTAAAAGAAAAGAGGGGCAAAGAGAAAGGAATGAAAGGAACTACGACACGTGAATTTCTCCTCCTCTCTCTCTCTCTCTCTCTTTTAAGAGTCAACCATTGCCAAAAATATATACCTCTGTAAAGAAAGCAATATGTTTGGAGGTCATTGAACCACTACAGAGCTACATGTATTTATGAAAGATTATATATAAAAACACACCCACCACACACATGCGCGCGCGCGCGCGCATGCACACCACGCGTGCAGCATCCTCAATTTAAAAGGGTGAGTAGTTGCGAATAAGTGACATGAAAAGGTAGAAAGCATAATACTAAAACTAATACTAATACTAATACTAATACTAATACTAATAATAATTCTAATACTAATACTGATAATAAGAGTTTTTTTTGCAATATAACGCACTGCGTTGCAGTACCTTTTCTTGCGGTAATTTTAATATTTCAAAAACGAATAAAAAATATTTAAAAAAGAATATGAATAAATAAGAAAGAGATAAAGAAAAAATAAATTATGTTTAATTTTTTATGAACTTCATGGCATGAGAAAAGCTGCTTTTAAATTTCATTTAAATAATATTTGAATATAATTTTTTTAATAAAAAGCTTGACAAGGAGTTGAGTTTTGGCGCCTTTTTTTTACGAAAAAAAGCACTACTAATATTAATACTACTAATAATAATAATTTAGAAAGGAAACAGGAAAACCATCGAAAAAATAATATTAAAAATAAATCCGCGAATTTTGGTAAACAAACAAAATTTCTTTCATTTTAAAGTCAAGGACTTGTCAAATAATCCTCATGCGTATATATGTAATACATATATTACTATTGATATTAAAAAGCAGTGTTAAAAAAAAGGTATAATAAATTATTATATTTAATATTAAAAGTATATATATATATGATTAATATTGTTTGTTAGAAAACGTACGAAAAATTGTGCTGAAAGTATGGTCCAATTAGCTTCTTTAAATTTCCTTAATTATAGTCATGTAACATGTTAAACATAAACCGAACACCACTGTAAAAGTTAATTAATTGTTACTATAAAGAAAATTGAAATGACACATTACAGATATAGGATAATTTTTAGACGTTTATTTGTTATAATGAAAATACGAAAGCACATAAACGCGGCAATGATTCAATTCGTAATTCACTTCAACGCTCGAGCTTCTCTTCAAGACTACTAACCACAGACCATTCTGATTAGTAAACTCATTGTGATATTTCTTTTTCGGACGCATGCGCAGAATTGCTTTTACTCGTAGATATAATAAATAAGCATACTCGCGTAATCTAACTATTCGTGAGCAAAACCTTATCTGTAATACATTACATTACATTCGCATTATAGGCAGGAATCTTTTGCTAACAAACGTATTGTACATAAGATGCATCAGTACACGAAAGAAATATTAAATTTTTGTTTGTTAATTACTTTATACAATTGCATTTATTTAAAAAAGTAAACATAATACATTAAAGATGTATCGTACATAAAACTAAACAGAGAGAATAATTATTTGTTACTTATACGTTATTTGAAATTTTTTTATAACACTTTATATATATATATTTCATGAGAACATGTATTCTCATAAATAACTATAAAAATGTAGTTACTTTTCTATAATTAATTTTATCTTAGAAACTAAACGCTTCAAAGATATTAGCCCCAAATAATTTAAGTTCAGCATTTAAGATGAGGCGTTGTAGCCATACCCTAGATGCGTCTTTAGACTTAGGTTGATCTGGAATTCGTTCATTTATTATTGGAATTAATTTAGCCAAAGGCATAGTGATCTTATTTATATTAACAAAATTATTATCCGAATTTTTTGAAATAGAATTTGTCCAAAGCATATCTTTACGATTCGAAGTTCCTGGTATTGATACTCCATTCCTTGTAATATTGTCATTATTTGTTTTAGTGTTAAAAAATTCGGATATATGATCCATTAGTAAAACAAAACCACTACGAATATTACTTTGCATAAACTCTTGTATTTCTTCACTTTCCAACAAATCTAAAGTCGCAGAAATGATTTTCGATAAAGATTCATTCATTTCTTCTTCGCACTGCAATGGTAGCATATATGTTGAAAGATTTTCTGTTGGATTTCTACTATCTGCAGTTACCGATGACATAATGGACCAATATATTTGTTCTAAATCTCTCAATGATAATTGATCCATTAAAGATATAGACGCTGTTATTTCGATGACCTTTTCTTTTATAACGTCACATAATTTTTGTGTACCTTCGCATATGAAATGATGACACAAAGACATATACTTTGTTTGCAATTCCTCATTTTCTTTGATATTATCTGCTGCTTTTGGGGATTCTTTATACATATGGCCAGCTATTATATTAAACTGAATTCTGATAAGTACTACAAACATTACATGAGAATAAATTATTGCAGCTGATCTTGAAATTGCTAAAACTTTTAGTTCATTCCATGATGCTACTTTGTCGTTGCAACCATTCCTGAGTTTATTCACTATAGCAGTGGTATCTAAAGTTTTTATCACTGATTCTCTTAAATTAGATGCAAGATTTAAGATCATCTGATTACATGTTCTTTCTGTACTTTCAAAATACTGACGTCGTCGAGTTTTCTCTAACATCAGTTTAATCTCTTTCTCTTGCCATTCTCGGATTTTTCTTTGCGTGTAACGCGATAAGAAAATAAAACTTCCAACAATAATACCTCCATATATAAACTTACGTTTATGGCGACCAAAAAATTCTCTTACTCTTGAAAACATACTGTCATTGAAATTTTTAAATTATAGTCTATACAATATAGTTCTTTCGACCACTTGGAAATGAGACTTAATTAATTAATCAATCAAATCTATTTAGCAATTATTGCATTTGTAAATTGTAAAATTATCTTATTTTAAATCAATATCAGAACTTTTACTAAAAGCAATACAATTTCATGTATTCGTAATGAAATAAGTTGTGTCAGTGAAGCGTTCAACGCAATTCACAAGGCATTTTTCTATCTTGGTTCCTAATCGTGGAGTAGAGCGGTCAATACAAATTTTCCAGCAAATGCTTGTCAGATTGTTTGCTAAATTCTATGAAAAAAATAAGATATATGTATTTTTTTTTTTTAAAATATCATTTAATATTTGATTTCAACATAAATTTTATTCTATAAAAATCTACACAAAAAATATATACCTATTAAGAATGAAAAAAGAATTGAAATTGTATACACAATGCACTTCTTTTTTTAATTATTAAATATATAATTTAGTTATGTCCAAAGAGATAAAATATAATAGCTCAGATTTTTAGGTGTACTATACAATCCACATAACAAAATGGACTGGTTTAATAATTAGACGTAGATTATTAATAGGAATTGAAAATTCTAACCTGAAATCGTTGTTTTTTACTTTCAGTCCCTATAAAATCTTCAAAGTGCAAGGCTGTTTCATCTTCCGTACTTTGATCTACGGTTAAGCTCATACTTTTGCTTATTTCTCGTATTAATAATATATTCGAAGCATTTGACCTTTGTCCTCTTCTTTTTGCAATTTTCACATTACTTCACAAGTCGCATCGCTTCTACGTGCATCTAGTTGTCCAATAGGTAGAAAATATAAACATGCATAAGTATATATGTATGTGGTGACGCTTCGATATATAAACATAAAACATACTATAATTTAGTAATCAACATTTTTACGTAACATTATTATATTTATATTATTATATTTATATAGAAATATATAGAAATATACAGATATATATATGTTTTTTATTTCTATTTTATTACTAAATTATAAAAGTTTAATATTTTTAGGAAAGCTTTATTGTTAAATTATTAATTAATAATATGTAATCACGTACTATCACCGATTAAAAATTTCCCATTTATACAATTAGATCAAATTTATAAAATTCAATTGTAATAAATTTAAATGAAAACAAATAATGATTATATAAAATTTACAAAATAATTAATAAGAATAAGCGGAATAGTATATCGGATATAGCCATAAATGGATTGGTTCGTATATTGTAGTTAGTCAAAGTGTGAATTTAAGATAATTTAGTGTTCGATTAAGTTTGGCGCGAAATTCAAACTTCTTAATTACGACTCGAATCGTATAATAATGTTACGTATAATATACGTATTTTAAATACGTAATAATACGTAAATAAATATATGTATACATATAATATATAATATATTATATATTTAAGATTATTTATTACATATTAAATTTATTCTATATTAATTAAAAATTTGTATTTTCTCTACAAAATTTCAAGAAGTGACAACAAAATTTGTTTACTCTGATGGAAGAAGGGATAGAATTATAGTGAAAGGAAAAGAAAAGAACAAAAGATAACAGAAGAAAACAGACGAAAGTAGAACTACTATATTTACGTTCATTTAAAATGCAAAAAGGACAATTCTTGAGATATGTAGTCTATCATTATTTATATTTCTTTTTCGTCTAACATACTAACGTATTACTTCCGGAAACATATCGGAGCATGACTTTTTCGTTGCTTTTATAGGACAAAACAGTCTACTTAAAAATGTAACGACCATCATCCGGTATAATTATCAATTCAATACAATGGAAATTTTAGTTGTAAGATGTACACAAAAAACAAAAGAAATTAAAAAAAATGTAACTTACTAGACCGGAAAGATTGACAAGAAGAATACGAGTTAATACAAGAATTATGAGTTTAAAGATTAGATTTATAGTAAGGTGAACATACATAGATATTATTTTTACAAATACAGTACTAGTTTTCGGCCATTGATCCTGGTAAGTTATAAAATGTATAATTAAGGAAATTATACAAAATAAATAAAATAATTGAAACTCATACACACGTATAAATCCTTATACACACGTATAAACATTTGGACATGAATTATATAAATTATAGGGATATGTTTTTTAAATTTCAATTAACAAATGCATATGTGTGTGTGTATATATATTTATTTGTTAATAATTTTTTGATAAATCATTAACTTATTTTCAAACACTTTTATACTTCTTGTTTAATAGATATTAATTCAGACTTCCTGAATGATACTTCTTATAGCAGTACAAAATTTTGAAATTCGAGTATAAAGTAACTTTATTAAGTTAAGAGGACATTTGATGTCAACGCGTTTAAAATTTAAAAGTATGTCAGGAGGTTGTACTGTTAAAGAAAATAAAAAAAGCAATTAAAAAGAAACTGATACTTTCCAAAAGATAAAAAGGACTACTACGTAGAAAATAGAGATCACCGACATATATATATTCATATAAATGAAATGTAAAAATTTAACAAATTGATAAAATCATTGATTACTAATACATACTGATATCACAATTTTTATTAGTTAATATTTGATTAAAATTATAAAAAATTATCTAAAGCATGTAAATAAATCAGTTGCGTATTATTTTTGATAAAGATACAATCATATGTGAAGGTGTCTACCGTCAAGATACAACTGCGCATGCGCTTCAATTTCTTCATTACATTTGGCATCGCTGTAAAGTACAGTAGTCATACATAGGCGTACACCAGTATACTGGCGTCCATTTCGTTTGTATCATGGTAGATCATAAAGAACGAGATTTTTATTCACAAATGGATCTGCGAACAAAGAACGACGACCCGCCCAATTCGCGTTTATTTGTTATTTGCCATAAATCTCTGGAAGAAGATGACATACGGAAAGCTTTCGAAAAGTTTGGCAAAATCGAGGATATTTGGGTCGTTAAAGATCGAAATACTGGCGAGAATAAAGGTAATATTTATTCTACTCGAATAAATAATCGATAAAATGTAATATTCGTCTCTTTGTCAATCACATTTTTAATATATTTTTAAACGTGTTGAGGTTTTCATTTCATTTCTAAGTCATAATCGCAAAAATAACGAAAATGTTTATTTCATTTTTATATGTAACAATCATTTGAATATTATTATTATATAAATGAACAATTTTGTAGGAGTTACGTATATTAAATTTTCTAAGACGTCAGAAGCTGCATTTGCGTTGGAGGAAATGAATGGAAAAATGCTAGGAATGGTTGGAAGACCTATCAAAGTGATGATCGCTTCAAAGTATGACAGAAAGATATATATTCTTCTTCAAACTTGATTTTCCTTGTTTAATTTCATTTAAAGGGTCATGCGTATAAGTGGATTAGGAACATTTATAGGAACATTTATTTTTGAAGGTATGAAAAAGTATTTTGCATACATCTTATTTAACTTGCAGAATGTAATGTGTATATAATCCAAATCAGTAATAGATATCAATCTATATGAATAAATCTCTAAATTTTGCTTTTACTCTTTTGATGTAATTAATTTTAAGCAAAACAGTTTATATTCAAAAGATCTGACATAAGTGCATACCCTTCTGTATTTCTGTCGGTGTAGTATCAATTTTATCTCCAATTACACATGACATAATATAAATTTATATTTATATATATACATATATATATAAATACATACAAATATAGAACTAACTTTCTTACCTTCAGAAATAAAGGGGATGTTCTAGTATTTCCACTATTATAAATCTTATTTATCCGTCCTTACACCTTATTATTACAGTCGTGATCAAGGATCTGTGAGAGAAACAAATGAAGAGGAAAGATGGGTCAGATTGTTTTGTGTGTTACCAAAGTCTATGACTGATAGTGAATTACAACAAGAATTCTCTAAGTTTGGCCAAATAGAGTATGCGACTGTAGTCAAGGATCGTAATACGAATGAATCTAAAGGTTTTGGTTATGTTAAATTTAAAAAAGTATCCAGTGCAGCAAAAGCATTTGAAGAATGCGATAGGAAATACAAAGCAGTGTTTGCAGAACCAAAGAAACCAAAACCTGAAAATATAGATTCTAAATACAATAATGGCTCTTCTATGTCCTACGACAGTCTTGGTCATGCTTCTGCAAATTTTGGGAAAAGCAGCATCAGTCTAGATATAGCTACAAATTATCCAAATCCGGAAGGATATACTCAATTACAAGTTATTGCACATCCAGCTTTAAATCAAGACCAGTTGTGGAAATTATTTGATATAGTTCCTGGTATGGATTATTGTCATTTAAAAACAGATGCGAGATACAGAATGCCAAGAGGGCAAGCCATTGTGGTGTATTCCAATCCAAATGCAGCAGCATATGCTAGGGAAAAATTCCATGGTTTCGAATATCCTCCAGGTCATAGGATGATAGTTAAACCGGATAATAGTAATATGTCATCCAAAGGTACAACAAAACCTAACTCTAATGCAGCTGTACCAGCAAGAACAGATTTAGCACATTTGGCTGAAACTATTGCTCAAGCTACATCGTTGATTCAAGCAGCAGGACTAACAGCACCAAGTGAGTTTCAAATAATAATACAATATTTGTATTCATTTCACTATCATTTTATATTACTCATAATGATTTAATGAATTAATTTTAGGCTTAGAACAGACAATGTGCATTAAGTTACCTCCTCTGCAACCAATGGCAAATGTAGATGCAGAGGTAGCTAAAAGGTGTTTCATCGTATGTGGTCCACCCGTACCACCTATATATGCTATGAAAGATGCATTCTGTAGGTTTGGTAATTTGATAGATGTATATATGCTTCCGGGAAAAAATTGTGGTTATGCCAAATATGCTACTGTTGCGAGTGCAGATGAAGCGATTGAGGTATGATTTGATTTTTCTTTTTTTCTTTATTGAATGTTGCTTTTTCATATTATCTTCAGCGCTTTGATTTGAAGTTTGAAGATTAGGCAGTTTAGAAATTAAGTTATAAGATGTTTGGTAGGTTCTACATGGGCAAGAAATTTGTGGTTCACGTCTTAAAGTATTGGAGGCAGAGGAACGAAGCGTTGGGGAAGATCGTAGAAAACGATTAAGAGTTGACGAAGATGAACGTTAAGCTTATTGTGTACTGCGTAAGTACAAGCTGGACGTGTTAGAGAAACTGAAAGAAAGAATGAATGGGACAAAAAGACACTTACATTATAACTCCCTGACGTTATAACTGACGCTACATTTATTTTAAAAAGTTAAAGAAGATGTAATGTATCTATTTATCTTCACAGACTGACTGGTATACACAAGCTGGACGCACGCAACGAAAGAGACGAATTTTAAGACTCACTTGACCACGTTGGGCCTGCATCCAAGGAAACTACAACTACCTACTTTAACTATTGATTACGTTCGCAGCTACATTACTAAAACTTTACTATTTCTTTACTTTATCCTTACATATCGTTACACATACATTTCCCATTTTTATTTTCTTATCTCGACAGGCCTTTGCGAAAAAACAAACAAAAAACAGTTCTGTTTCAAAGTTGTTAATAAACTTTATTGCATCGATATTTTTGCCCATATCAAATACAGACAGTGTAGTCTGTAGACGTAAATATATTTCGATTGAATATATATTTTAATTTGAGCTTTTCTTTTTTCATCATTAAAATTGCCAGTGTGCTTATAAAACAAGATTTATTTTTCAAATCTAGTGATAATATCAATATGTTTTACTTTTTTCTATTACTAAAATTAGTACAGAATTGAAGGGTAAAATTTGTCAAGATTTAATTGTGGCCTCAATTTATCAATGCAGATGCGAAAGAAATTTTTTTTATATATAATAAATAAAGTCCGTTCAACACAGTTGTTAACATTAACAAAAGTATGTAAAATATTAGTATGGCAAATCTTCTTTTCTATTTTTAACTGAAATGGATAGTAAAAAATGTTAAGTTCTCTTAATTATCTATTTCATTTTATCATTTTATACATAAATTATACATATGTGTGTATATGTCAGCGTTAAATTGTATACTTCGGTTAAATCGTGGAAATCCTAGGTTTTACCTGAAATATCCAGGAATTTTTGGAAAACATATAAAAATTATACACTAAAATTAGTAGTTTTAGGAAGTAACAATGTTATTATATATGATTTCACAAAAGGCAAATAGTTAAAGTATGGGTAAGTTCAAAGTCGATAGAAAAGCAAGACTAACAAAAAATTTTTTTTTAAAAGATAGAAAGAGACAAGAAGACATCTACGAACACTTATTATTCGCGTTTATTTTATTTTCCTTTTAATAGTTTTCGAAAGAAATGTAATTTAATCCCTTAAATCAATAGAGACACTCTATCTTGAAATTAGATAACTCTCGCTTGAAAATCGAAGAATATTTTTTTTTAATTTGAAATCAAATTTCCAGCTCATACCATTTGCCCCTTATAAGTTCCTGTAATTCTTACAATTAGTTAAAGTATGCAATTTTCGTTTCTTTTATATTTAAATAAGTCAGTATAGTTCATTTTAGGTTTAGCTAGTCATTTCACGAATTAATGGATTTTACAAAGTAACGCTACATATATACATACTTGGAATGTATGTTCAATTTTTGTTTCGTATTTTGCATGCTGATTTATAAATTCTTGCTAAAACAAACTTGTATATATATACAAGCAAATAATTAAAATATCAATAATTCATATTAAAAATTAATATTTAGTTCTTACTCGAATGTGTATATGCATTTTTATTTATTTCTATTTATGTATAACGAATTTAGAAACGCGTATAATTTATTATAAGATGCATGAATTTTGGAAATAGAATAAAAATTCAAATACATATTTACATGGAATAAATGTGTATATAAAAATATATATTATTGTATATAAAGTTATATAGCAAAATTGATAACTGTGTTGAAGCGCATGATAGATTGTTATTAAACGCGTATGTCATGTTATTAAATGAAGACATATTATCATTCGTACAGGCCTCTACATATGTGTCTGTACTTTGGAATTAGTCAAAAAAAGAAAAAAGATATTTTTTGTAATTTACCCAAAAGTTTTGTATACTTATCTAAAATGATGGGATATTGTATGAAACATGAATTCTAGTACAGAGTACCAGTTAGATTCTGTACATACCCAGAAAACTTTCACTGCAATAAGATTGGATAAATTTACTTTCAATAAATTATAATGTCTGTATAACATTTCGAGATATGTAATATTTTATTGCCAAGATGTGGCATATCAAAATATGATATTGTCTGCATGAATTTTATAAAAATATATTTCTTTAATATATTTCAAAAAATTTTATTTATAGAATAGTTTTAGTATAATAAATGTTTACAATTCATGGTTATCTTAGATATTCACATAGAAACATTAATCAATAATAAAATTTATAATAATATTTATTATATATATGAAAATATTAACTGTTGCATTCAATGTTGATCTTATTGCAGTGAAATTTTAAGAGGATAGATCATCATATACTTTCAAAGCTAAAATAAATACATCATTTAACATCATGGTGGCATATTTGTCAAATATTAGTAATCAACGCACAAGTATGTTTTGTCATGACTCACATTGCACTACATGTGTTAGACTTTTACTTTACTTTGCAACTATACGCAATTGAAACTCGGCGGAGACTGTAACTGACTTATTTGAAAATTATAAAATACATATTCAATATGCAAAATTACAGACTCTTACTCATTTAATACTGGACTGAATATATATTACTGCATATGTATTATTAATGCAATTAATATTCCACATTTTTTCTTCTTGATTTCAGGACACTATTTTAAGCTGGGTTCGACGTATTGTACCTGAAAACTGTGATATATCTATAATTGTAAAAGGTAAATATTTTTTAGTATACATATGTATATAAAATGTTGTTTATAGCAAGCAATAAATTATATTTTTGTTTAAATTGTTTGTATTCTTAATATGTACTATGTGTTAATAGCATGTTATTTCATAAAAAGTTCTTTTATAATCTCCTTTCCGATAATTTTCTTTAAAGACCCATGAATATATTATTATATATAAGTTAACACTTTTAAATATATTCCATTTGCGATATAAATACATGCACAATTGTATCTTTAAAAGAATAATTAAATTTTGATATTACCGCTGTGACGCAACTGTGATAGTTTGTAATTTTGCCGTAGATGTCGCTACCACATCGAATGAAGTTCCCGCGATACACAGAATAGTGGGAGCACGACTCGTAAAGAGATGACAAGAGAGGGGGAAGAGCGTTTATATTTTAACCGTATATATATGTCATGATGATATTACGTGACAATGAAGTAGCCGCTTGGAGGGGATGATGGGAATGCTATCCAGAACGATATAGGTGACTTTTCAAAGAGTGGGGGTTTTAGGCTCACGTGTTTTCAAACGTGCTGCAAAATGAGCACCAGTTCGAACTTGCGAAGATTGCAAGCGACACGATTTTGGTCTTTACTAGCGTAACCATCGCGAAGTCTTGTCTCTCGAGTGTTTTATATCAAATTCGTATTATTAATCGATTAATCTACATGGAAAGTTTTTCAGTTGATCGAATAATCATTTCTCGATTCTTTATTTGTTTAATAAAAATATTACAAAGTGTACATTAATCCCTATTTTATTTGGATTAAACATTAATATTTTTTTGCGTGAATTGTAATTTTTATTCGCGAACAGTATTTTTATTTTATTTTTTTTGTTCACCTTATGCGTATAAGACAATCGTTTTGTTTTTTCTTCGTTCTTTATTTATTTAATAATTATTATCTAAAGTGCGAAGTATGAAACAAACGAACATTCTTACCACATCAGTGGTGTGATTATTAACGTAGAGAGAAAGAGAGAAAGATAAACATAGTTCTTCCTCATATAAAAGTTTTAAAATTCTAAGAAGACGAGATGGAAGAAACGTCAGCCGAAAATGCAAAAGTTTCGGACTCAGGTTATTCAAATACGTGCAGTAACAGTCAATCACAACGGAGGTATATATATATTAATTAATTACTTTTTTTATTTCCAAATATATTTTTCTCATTTAACTTATTGATAAAAATTCGAAGTTTTTCCCATTTTCATTTTTTCAATATTGTTTTCAATAATGTATGTAATATAAAATGATTTCAATTACTGAACATTTATACAGAGTTAGAATTTACGTATCGTTTAATTGTAATAGAGTTTTTTTTTTTTTTATTTCTTTTATCCTCAAAAAAAAAAACAAAATTAATTGTAAAAGATAATGTATTTTATATCGTGGAATATTACAAGGCATCGTTTGACCTCTTTAATATGATGTAATTGATGATAGGAATATTTCTTAAATCTTTCCTAAATTCTTTTTATTTACTATCTTACAATAGATTCTGTGCTCTGTTTTGTAAATTTTAGAAAAATAATTTAATTAACTTAATAAATCATTTCTTTTTTTTTAATTTCGATAAGTCATTATCGAATAAGTAACATACATTAAATGAGATACAAATTTAGTAACAATATTTATCTTTACATTTTTATTATGAACAAAAATTTTTAATTGTATTTTTTAATTATATTCCTAAAAAAATTTACATCTGTATTTTGTATAAGTGAAAAAATTAACTATAATTATTTATATGTTTATTACACAACAAAATAATTTTTTAATTGTTACATTAAAAAAATCCTTTAATTGTAATAGATCATCAATCTGCAAAATATACATATGATAAAGAACATATACATATGACAAATAATTTGATTGTTTAAAATTAAACAATTAGTTTACGTTAAAGTAATCAGGATTCTGTAAAATCTATAACTAGTATCTTAGATACTTGGCATTGACATGAATCCTTCGTATTGTAGGTGAGAGGTAGACAGAGAATGTAATGATAGAAAGAGAGAGAGAGAAAAAGGTAGAAACTCGTATTCTACGGTTAAGGCTAACCAGTCGTCTCTCTCTTTCTTATTTTCTCTCTCACTTCGTACTTTTTGACGTAATACTTCGATTGAATTTCCACGTTGCATTTAGCTCACCTATGCAGATATTGCAAAATGCGTACAGTAAAACGGGTCGCTATAAATGTGAACCACGTGTAAGGACGTAATAGATATTATCGAAAGTAGATTTGGAAAGTAGATTTGGAAAGTTGATTTAGGAAAAAAAATCATTTTAATGTAACACACACACAAAAATAATGACAAAAAATTATTGATCAATAATAATAATTGTAATAATAATATATAATACATAATAATAATAACTATCTGATCTAAACTTATATTTTTTAAACCATTCGATTGTTTCCTTTACAAATGCATATGATTATATGCACATAACGTATAACATGGTAATTCTATAAAATGGTATTATTCTAACACGACTCGAAATTTGGAAAAATCCTTGTACAACACGGCATCTTAGAACACGGTTTTATTCTAAAACTGTTTTGTAAATCTTTGGATTTACAAAAGTGCGATATAGGCAAATATTTTTTTAAATGAAATTGAAGAATATTTTTCTTATATTTGGGATCAAATTTCAATTTCATATTTTAACTATTCAGTTTTGTTATTTCTCGAATTAATGGATTTCACAAATTAACGGCAATACTAATGATCGTATTATGCGAGGGTTACCTGTATATTTCTATATATATATATAGGTATTATTTTATAGAAGCAATAATAGTACCCAATTATAGACATAGCACAAGAATATTTTAACGAAAATAATTGCTTTGTATACTCTGAGCAATATTCTTGGTTGACATTACAAATATAGTTCAAACCATTAATTGTATTAATGGAGACGAGTAAAGAGACAATGGATAACAAAGCTGTATTTATAACCATCTATGTTAATAAATACACATCCATTCGTTTATATATTTTGAAATTCGCGAATTACTGGCTTGTAATGCATATTTTAAAAGAAAGGAAGATGAGTAAATTTTAAATAAAATAATATTGCTTTATTAATTGGAAATTTTTTATTGGAAATATATATTTATAAATTTATTCACAAATTAAATATATATAATAACAAGTTATATTTGAATAATTAGAGATTTGTCTATTTTTACCAATTGAAATATAATATATATATTATTTCAAAATAATTATACTTTAAAATAATTTGTTAATTCATTATTTTTTCTTTCTTAACGTCCTTGATTGTTTATACTTTTAACACGATCAATTTAAAACCTCAAATTAAGCAACGAATAATCGTCCCCAGTTTTAGCAAACGGTATAGAAGTCACGGGGCTAAGAACGTGAACGAAACCTTCCTTATGCAATAATTTTTCCGGATCCGTGAGGTGCAACAAATGCAGGAGACCTGTGGCGGAGTTTATTGATAGAGAGAAAATGAGGACAGTGAAAGGCTAGAAAGAACTCGTTGTAGGGGCTGGACCATGATCACGTTTGCCAAACATGTGATTGAAAAGATTTTTCTAAATATCAAACTGGTTTTTGAGATTTTGTGTCAGCAAGTAACATAATTTTTTTAACCTGGTTCAATCGGCCAATAGGACGAGGCCGTTTCACCACTTTATAATATGCCTTTCTTTCTCTTCGCATCTAGTATTTGCACGAAGTTGATCTAGGACGAGGAAGTGATTATCGATTCCATCGATTATTTCCCAATCTTTCAAATTAATCTAAAGAATTTATTTTCTTGTTGCGATTTTGCGAGGATTTTTTTTTCTTTTTTATGTAAGGTCGTATCCTAATTGATTTATTATTTTATTTCAAATTGTTATATTTATTGATATCTTCGATTTTATTGTTAGTTCGTTTAATTTTACATTTTTATGGAAAAATGAATCATAGAAAATTAATGTATAATATATTCACAAAAGAAAAATATATTTAATTTAATAAAAGAGTTATTATTATTATTATAGTAGTTCCCCATATAAATTAATATTAGAACAATTTGAAATGTTCGTCTTGTTTTTGAATATTTTTAAATATTATTCTCGAATGAATTACCGGTCCTATTTAAATGAAACAAAAAAAATGTCGCGAATTTTTTATATTGTTCTACTAATTAAAATACCAAAATGTAAAACTGATTACTACTGATTTTAACCGGAAAAATTGTTCTAGTTTTTATCTATTTTTAATAATAGATAATTTTTTTTTATGTGACAAATATCAACGTTATTAACAACATTATTTTATTTATTTTTTCTTTCAGTAGCGGCAGTTCGATATCCAGGAATAGCATTTGTTCAGAAAGCAGTGGCTATTGTGGTAGACGCCCTTCAACATTTGCCTCGAGGTATCTATTATTCTTAAATTAATTTTATAAATTCCCGGTCTTTCGTAATTTCGAGGGTTGAAATGTGTCAGAAAGATGTCTGTAGATACGAAGAAACCTTCTAAGTTCTTTTCGTAATGCAGAAGAACGTTCAAGAACGTCGAAAGTTCTTCAAAGTTATTTCTATATATAGGATAGAAAAATTCAAATAGGATAGTTTATCCTTTAATTTAATGATATATGTATATTCAATTGCTTCTAAATTAATTAACAGTGCGCGCAAACGTGACAATCCTAAATACATATTCATACACACATATACTATGCATTTATATGCATACAAATGTGCAAAGCTCTAAAATGAATCCCCTATAATTTAATTTTATTTTTCGTTTCTAAACATAGAAAAAAAAATATAAATACATGATTTATAACATAAAACTATTAAAACTTATTAAACGTTAATCTTCAAATATATATGCAAACGATTATAAGAAAAAACAAAACAGATTAAACATAACAAGATATAGATCGATGAACAAATTTATTGAAACTTCATTTTACTTGGCGAAAGTGATTCGTTTTCGATTCGTAATTTATATACGTGCATACGCAATGACGAGAAAAATTGTTGCAATGATGATCTGATGTACCATATAAGGAGAAAAAAAAACATATTTGCTTTATTGTTAGTTAGGAAGAAGCTACGGCGTCATAAACATTAGCTCACACGTGTGGTGCCACGTGCCTATCGTGAAGTCGCCAACGCACTCCACAGATATACTCGTCTAAAGTTGCATAATAGAAGATAAACGGAGAATTATAAGAAGTTAAACATTCGTGTTGTGTTTTAACGATTATTATTATATATACAGATTTTTCTCAAAAAATCATTCATTATTTATTCAGTAGATAGAAAACATTATACTGACACTGATTTGAGTGTGTCTATAGGCGGTTAATTCTAATACTTATAGCAGCAACTCGATTCAAAATATAAAAAAATAAATGTTTACTAATCGTAAGACTTCTTTATTCACATAAGTATAGTGTGCCCTTTATATTGCATAAATATCGATAGGGATTTTTGAGAACATGCCTGTATATATAATTTCCGTTAACGTGGTCGATGATAATTTGACGTAATATTTATTTTTATTTATTATGTTTATATTGAAATTCTTGACCATGTGTTTTGAATTGCACAATAATACAGTTTTGCGAATCGCGATTTGAATATACCTGATAAAGTATTTTAATTTCTTTACAACGTAAATTTAATTACAATGATGTTCATAAATAGAATAATTTACAATTCGTTAAAAAATAATCTTGATGAAGAAAAATTACATATATGTTTATGCTGTGAGAAGAAACAAGACAAATATTTTCTTCTACGTTAGTATCCCCATTTCTAATTGTAAGCACGTTAAAGGGAAAGAAAGCATGTTATACAATGTGTATATGCCGAGTTGGACAGAATCTGATGAAAAAAAGGGTTCATATAAAAAAGGAACACTTTCTCCAGTATTGCATAATATACTATTCGAGCTTAGCTATTACTGTTATATCAGGGCTTTATATCATGAGGTTTTTGTTTAACCATCCTTCCGGGAGAAAGCTATCAAGCTATTACGAATACTCAAGACTTGTGTTAGTAGTTATAAATACGAATGCCTATATATATTTGCAAAATGACAAATGTTTTATAAGATAAGGAAAACTTGGTTTCCCATCTTTTAGTCGATTTCTTCTCTTTTTTTTCTTTTCTCTAATAAATATTTTGCGATCTGAACATTATCTTGATTTTTTTTGAAATTAAAAAGAAGAAAAAACGTAGGAAAGAGATCACACGTGAAAAGGGGAAAGATGAAAAAGCTTTTAAAGTTTTTTTTTTTTTTTTAATAGACATCACGTTTGCTCGCACGCGTTCGATCCATTCTACATACATACTTTTTTATATCAACATACGTATATGTATACTTGTATATTTATAGGAAACGTATACGTGACTTATCGTTACGTGATAACGTTATTTCCTCTGTTTTCTCTTTATTTCTTTTTTCGTTTTGTTAAAATGGCAAATAACGCACACGAGGATACTCGAACAATTCCAGTCATTTCCATTAAAAAAAAAAAAAAAATTAAATAAATGGAAGCACGAAAATTTGCAAAATACATATATGATATATATATATTTTCAACATATGTTATGATAATCACTTTATAATAGATAATATGAAAGAATTGTTTTTTTTTTCAATGAATACTTATATAGGGTGAAAGCACGCGTTGCAAATTATTCCATTTGGTTGATAATTCGTGAAATTATAAATTTTTAAATTATTATTAATTATTTTTGGATCATCTATATATTATATATATTTTGACGGTTTTGCGTTGTATATAAATAAAATCTATTTTAATATTATATCTACATATACGTGTATGTGTATGTGCATTATCTATATGAATCTTAGCAACGAGGCACTACCCCAACCGATCAGCAAAAGAAAGGATAAAGAATACAAGAAGAAGAAGTCTAAAACGTCTTTGGTTGTTAATGCCGAGGCAGAGATTACTTTGAGAAGTACCGGCAAGTCGCCGGATAACGCGTCCTATAATTTCGTCACCTCAACGAAACCAATACTTGAGAAACAAACAGGTTGGTTACGAACGAATTATATTGGAAGGGTTGTACGTTAACAATACACATTTGTAAATCATTGTTCCAGTCGTGATATAAATACCTTGCGAATTAATAGATAATTCAAAATAAATTTAACTCTCGCGAATCAATATTATTTTCTTTTGTATAAAGGATATTATATAGGAAGAGCAAATATGACTATTATTGTTTGGCTATATATAATTACACTTTTGTTCGTTTATAATTAATTTTCATCTTCGTAAGATTTTATTTTTAATTCGTATTATTAGTTTGATATACATTGTCGTAATTTTGTTTTTTAATACCATTTAAAGGACAAGTACATACGAACACGAAGTGAATTTTATTTAATAATTAATAATAGACACAACACACACATTTTTTTAAATCAATAGAATTTTGTAATAACCAATTATTTGGTTACATGCACACTTCACCAGTCATTTTGATAGGTTCCTATAATACTTTAACCATAAGTTTTTGAATGATTTCCCTATAGGATTTCCCTTAGTCCGTCTCGAATATTTAAGTCTGTAATTTATAATTACATCGATACTCATTTCTCATGAAATTAATTATAATAAACAATGAAACAACGTAATTAATATCGAACGATGAAAAATACTAATAGATATCATACATATTATTATTATTAATATTATATTTATTTATGTTAGACAAATAATATATGTATTATAAATGAGGTTCCGAATCTCGGTTATTGTTAGCTTCCAATGATTCCTCAAGGTGTCATCAAATATCTTTTTTTTTTATAAATAATTAATTAATTTATTAATCTCTTGAGATTAGATCGTTTTAATATAAATTAGAGTATTAATGGAAAAGGACACAGAGAAAATAAAAAATGATTATTTCAAGTGTGGTAGATAAATTTGAATCTAAAAATATCATCGTGTACGATTGTTATCATAATAGTCATTATCATTATCATTCTATACTTTCGAAAACAATTTATATCCATTTGGTCAAGTATCGTTATATACTCAAAGATAGAACGGATCTTTCCCTGATGAATGTCCTTTTACATAGTACTCCTTTTACATAACACAATCACGCGGCCACAATTTACGTAATTATTTACATAAGTTTTAATATTAAACCATTTTCCATTAACGCTTTAATGGCGCAATAGACAGTTCTCTTCAATAATCAACGATTCGGCAGGCCTTTATTTGTTACGAGACCATACTTTCTCAAAAGAGAATATGGTCAATATCAAAATAGATTCGTTGCACAATCCTGTTCCATTTTATGCCTTCATTATTATCCTTTAAAAAAGAAAAAAAAAGAGAAAGCCTGATACAATAGTTTGACAAAGTCTGATACAATATTTTCACATAATAACTATTAAAACGTATCTAATATTTCGAAGTATATTTACTTCACACACGTTGGATTACATATAGTATTAAGTGATATTGGTCAACCATTGAGGAAACGTGCTGTCCGTTTGTTAGCGGTAAATCATTGCCTGTAATGCACTCGCATTAATGTAATTAAATAATAATAATAATTAAAAAATGAATGTAATTTTATATTACATTCATTTGTATAATTATATTTATTTGTAGTTATATAGAATAATAGATAAAGTGTAACACCTTTACAAATACGTTTGTGCAATATCGTAGAAAATCGTGGATACGAGCTAAATTATTTGGATATACTTGAGGATAAACTTGAATAAGTTTGATAATCTTGATTCGGTTTATTTATCCCTTTTTATCAACACGTCTTATTAATATGTTCTATATTATTTACGTATTATTTAATCGGACTAAGGGAACCAGAATATATTTTTATACTCTATCATTTGAATTACTCACTACCCTTGTAGCACACAATGCCAATGGATTTCTGAATATTAATTTGCAGATATTTCAGAAATGAAATCGTAAAATCTTGAAATCCTAAAATAATTTAACGAAATGTAAAATACAAAAATGTGCTACTGGGGATAAAGTGGGATGAATACATGTCTCCCACAATACATACATAAACATATATATATACATTCATTTAGAACAAAAACTTGTATACAAAGTATATAACAATAGCTTCTGTTAACGTATATACGAGAAGAAATAGCAACTGTAGAATTGGTGGATGCAACGGATCCAGGTGAACACAACGGCGATACTCTGACAGGCAGTCCGGAAACAGGACTTGCTTCTCGGTCGAATCTTCTGGATGATTCAAGTTCACAAGCAAATGTTAGTATTCATCGAAAGTTAGCAAGGAAGACTCTATTAGTAACACTTTGGTAAAACAGGGAAAATGTATTGCCGATGAGAATTTGCTTGGAAGATCATTTTTACGGTATTAGGCAGGTTTAGGGGTCTAAGTATGGTCGAGGAGCAAATAACTCACTCTCTCTCTCTCTCTTTTTGTATATATTATGTATATATATAGATATACATTTAACACATATGTGCTTTTATTCACGTTGATGGTTTATCGGTGCCTTTTTATTTTGTGGTGGCTTTATTACGATATACATAGGTATTTTATTAACATGGTGGCAGTACTCCGTTTGAAAGTACGGAGAAAAGTGGCTTTGTTCGAAGAAATGCCACGAATACCTTTCTACGTAACATACGTATCTAATATTACAAGCAAACAAATATTCAAAATATTATATATTTTATGTTATTCCTTAATAATTAATTCATTATAAAAAATGATACGTACCAGTATATATGGCGTTGGTACTCTTTTAATTGTTTATTATGTGTTATAATATACTTGAATATTTATTATTTAAAAGTGAGTTTCGTTCGTATATTATTCAAATAGATATGTATTGTATATTTACGTCGATATTTAATTGATTAGATAAAAAATTATATACTAGATACTACGAAGGTAAAAGGATAAAATTAATTTTGAATTTCTCTTTTACACGAACCTTATGACCTAACACGAAGTGTAATTTTATGAGCGTTATCATTTACAATCAAAGGATAATACTTGTAAATTATTTTTTTTCTTTTTTATTATTAAATCTATTTGTCTCTTCATTAAAGATGATAAGCCTTTTTCTCTGTGCATACTTTATTATACAGTTAATCCTTATATTATAATTATTTTAAAGATAGAGATGCATTAACGACGGAAGCCTGTATTTATCAAAAATGCCACCTCAAAACATATTTCATATATTTATCTCTGTTGTTAATAGAATTGTTGTTAGTAGAGTCCGATGAATCTTAATAACAATTTAACAAGCATAAGAATAATCTATTAGTTATAAAATGATTTCGTAAGATGAAATAGATTTTCTTTTACGAGGATCGATTTTACCGACGATATTCAAGAAACAAAACAAAAAAATAAATAAATATCGTAAAACACGTCTAACAAATATTTTTGTACTCTCATAGGATGGGTTTTGCGCGGTGATATCAATGCATGACGGCCTCGTGCTGTACATAACACCTTCGATATGCACAGCTTTAGGGTATTCAAAGGACGCTTGGATTGGTCGTTCTTTTATCAATTACGTACATTCTAATGATAAGACTACATTGGCTGATCAAATTAAAAATGGTTTAGTCTCGTCTCAGGAGGATCGTCCGAAAGGTATTCATTTAATTTTTAATTTAATAGTATAAAAATATAATTATTGATTAAAATTCGATTAAAAAATGTCGAAATTGTATTTAGGAATTAACGAAAGGAGAGCCAGTTTGTTCTGTGGATTACGGAAGAACGTTAAGACTGAGAACAGTACATTGAACAAGGATCAAGAAAATGCAAGATCGAATTTGTATCTTCCATTTCATTTGACATTAACTTTTCGAGATTTTCGTCAACGAGTTGTCGGACAACAACAACCAAGAGCCATGTTTCTAGTCGTTACTGCTCAACCGGTGCACTCAGCATACAAAGGTATTTTAATTCTGGATTACAAAGAACAGACAATTATCAGACCTTTTTTTTTTTATTCCTGATGCAATATTACATTACTTATCAAAGGAAAATCTTGTCTTCGAAGAATTAATCTAGAGACGGAAGACAAGGATACTGAACTTTATTATTTTATCATTATCCACAGCTCCAGAAGAAACAATAATATCTTCAATATTTACAACCCGACATACTGCAACATGCCTCTTATCTCATGTCGATCCTGATGTTGTACAATATTTAGGCTATTTGCCTCAGGATATGATTGGATGCTCGCTATTTGACTTCTATCATCCTGAGGACTTACCTTTCATCAAAGACATCTATGAGACTGTGAGCATGAATATCCAATATATAAAAATTAATATTTAATCTTTCTTTTTTTTTTTTATTATACTGATATCCATTGCCTATGGATAAGAAAATAAAAAAGACATCAAAACATCAGACAAGTGCGAGCAATCAACCATCGAAATTTCACCATTTAACGTGTCCATTGCACTGACATTATTATAAACTGTCATTGAACAGGTTATCAAGTTGGAAGGATCCTCCTTCAGATCAAAGCCTTACAGGTTTGCTGCTCAAAATGGAAGTTACGTTGTTCTTGAAACTGAGTGGTCGTCATTTATCAATCCCTGGACGAAAAAACTAGAATTTGTCGTGGGTCAGCATAGAGTATTAAGGGGACCCATGGATCCCGATATATTTCGAGTACCACCTAAAAATGAATTCGCTTTTCTGGCTAATATCAGCGAAGAGGTACTGAAAGAATCCAAGATCATACAGAACGAGATACGTACTCTTCTCGATGAGGTAGGTCTCTCTTTTCATACCGACATCAATCAAGATCTTTCTCCTCGCTTATTATAAGAAGAAAACGATAAAAGTACATACAAATTTGCAAAGCTTATTTATAATTGACGTCTCACAAAATATATTATACATATGTATGTCGGCGTAAAATCGTATAATCAGTTAATTTCTGAAATAACTGGGTAATACATACAAAATAACTGGACGTTTTCGGGAGAGAATAGAAAAAGAATTTTATTATATACTTAAATCAATTGTTTTATGAAATACTCGGATAATATCTGAATTCACAAAAGGTTCGTGATTAAAGTATGAAATTAAAATTGGATTTTAAGTTAAAAGAAAAATATTTTTCGATTTCGTTTCAATATCTGCCTATACTGCACTGTTTCAAATCCGAAGGCAAACAATGCATTGATAATAGTATTTGATAATTAGATAAAGTGTATAATAAAATTCTTTTTGTCTTTTCCTTAAAAACACTTAATTATTTTACGTAATACCTAAATTATTCTACGGAATAACGGAATTAAACACTTTTTTCTAATGAAATACATATAACGACACGCTTATAATAATTAGTAAAGGAAAGGTCACGCGCGACAGTGGTATCTCAAGTAAGAGGTGAATTTAGTTAAAAATGAGTATATTTCATGTCAAAATATTTTTGTTTGTTTGTTTGTTTTTCTTTCACCCGTACGAACATATAGAGCATCCAAAGGACATCAGAAATTACTGAGCACGATGTATCAAAAAGGTGTAAGGACCTCGCGTCCTTCATGGAGAGTTTGTTACAAGAAATAAGGACACCGGCTCTTGGCAAGGATACCCTAGCTACGGACGACAGAAGTTTTTCGGTGACTATTAAGCCTACGTTTTAGTATCGTCGACACTGTCTTAACCAATTTGGCTAGTAGTACGCTAAGCTGTGCTCTGGTGGTATGCTAGACAATATTTATTACTATATAAAACCACGGGTTTTTCTATGACAAATCTATTCACATGGACAACAAGTGACTTTAAATTTCTCACTTTTACGTTGGTCTTCACATTAAATGCAATTTAAATAATATATTTCCGGTACATATGTATATTAGCTCTATCGGAGAAAATTATGTCAAATAATGTCATCTCAAATTTCAACGCGTATGAACATGTTCGTTTTAACGATTCTCTTCCAAATTTAGCGAATGATTTCATCATTCATTGTCAGTATTGGGTTCGATTCGTTCACGCGAATATATTATTTTCTTTTAATTAAAAAATCACTTTAATATCTCCTTTGTTTACAATCTTATCAAAAAAAATGTCCAAGAAAAAAGTTACACTATTAGAGAGGAGGGAAATCTAATGGTTGAAAGAATTTTTTTTGTCTCGGTCATTTTTCTTATATATATATTAAATTAATATTAATAATTTTGAAAATTCTCTCAACCATTAGATTTACCCTCTGCAATGGTGCAACTTTTTCATTAAAATTTTTGTTCATATCATTATAAATAAACGAGATATTTAAATGATCTCATTTAGCTGAGACACGTTGTATATATGTATATAATAATTATATATATAAAATTAATGTACCGTAAATATATCAAAGATACAAATAAGATTAATGGAGAAAAAGGAATTCTTTTCTAAATTTCGTTTTCTATCAAAAGAAGATTGATTGACATTTGCATATAAATCAAAAATAATATTTATAAGAAATAATTTCTTTTTTCCTCTTCACTGATCTTATGTTATTTGCATGATATTAAACGTAACATAACGGAAACGAAACATAGCTAAGAACTTACATTTGAAATATCATTTCAGTAAGCAATTAGACATTTTTGGATCGCAATATTATCACCAACCGTACAAATCTATCCAACCACTTATCTATCCAATTAAGTAACTTAAAAATTGGATTGATTATCTGTCCATTTGTCTCATCGACAATACGATATAATATATCCGTCGAAATTCATTGATTTCGATCGAAAGTGTCTTGCTGCTATTGAATATGGCCGTATCGTAGAATTTTTTTAAAAAAGATTCACAAACTAAAAATAGGTGAAGGTGAGTAAGGAAACAACAAAACGATTAAATTAGTTGCAGTGGTGTATTTTTTTTCTTATATACAATGAATGGTTATATATATATAT